CCTCCTCCTTCCCCTCTTCCCTAACCAAAACTTTATTTTTATTTATTTAAAGAATGAAAATCTTAAGTCAAAAACACGATTTATTCAATCATGAAAATTTTGTTTATTTTCCTTTATTTTCCTTTTTTCCTTTTTTTTTCAATTCTATTTTCTTTCTTTTTTTATAACAATTTAACGAGTTCTAGAACTTTCTATTCTAATAGAAATCCCCTCAGTCTGTCATTTCCACACACACGTACACGCATCGATTCGGTAGTTTTTTTTTTTTTTTTTCTTAAATACTTATTTTTCCGTTTTTATTTTTATTATTATTATCATCATCATCATCATCATCATTATTAATCTAACCGTTTCTAAATAATCTAAATACTTTTTTTTATTTATTTAAATAATAATAATAATAATATATCAAATAAAAACTAATGGAAAAATTATGTGAAAATTAATCAAATCCTTTAGAAACGATTATTATTATTATTATTATTTTTATTATTATTATTAGTATTGTTTTTTTATACGTGTATAATTCGCGATTGGATTTCACATAAAATTTTTTTATTTTATTTAAATACACTCACTTTATGTGTTAATAATTATTATTATTATTATCGAAACGAAATGACGTAAAAACCGTCGACACGAAACACACAATTATAATAATTTATGTTTATGTGTTGATGAAATTATGTTTTCACTCATTTGTCACCAAAACATACACAAAACAAAACACAAAATTAAAACACGTTTGTGATGACGTAATCACACACACACACACACAAAAAAACAATAATACTGTATTAAAATTGTTTTTATTATTATTATTATTAATAATTTAACCATATAAAATTTTTCAACGTGTGCGTATCGATTAATTTATTACATTATTAATAATGATTATTATTATTATTATTATTATTATTATTATTATTTTATATACATATATTATTATTATTATTGTTGTTGTTGTTGTTATTAAAAAGTTCGTTTCAAAACTAAATCAAATATATTTTTCAAAAGATATAACATCATAATAATATAAATTAAATGTAATAATTTATTGTTCAAGTCCCGCCTTCTGTTCTCTTCTGCGCTCAACCCCTTTCCCAGGGGTTTAAAATTAAAACGTTTTATATCAAAGAGAGGTAGGGGGTTGAAAACCTATATTATTTTATCATTATTATTATTATTATTGTTGTCGCACCTAAAATAACAAAGGTGTAACGGTGTATTTGGATGTTTGAAGAGTTTTATATAAAATTTATCTAATAAAATATTTTATTTATTATTATTGATAGTAATAATAATAATAATAATAAAAATGAAAATAATAATAATGACGTAGTTTGAGTTATTAATCGTAATTTTTTATATTAAAATTATTAATAGAACGGTGTTAAAATAAGTGGAAATAAAAATAATTTTTTTTTATCGGGGGTTTTCTATTACTCTCGCCATATTAATAATTTTTTATTACTTATTTATTATCACCGTTATTAATACATAATTTATTAATAATAATATTTCAGTAATAATTATTTAATTACGGGTAATAAAACGTTTTTAACACTAAAAAAAAAAATTATTTAATTTTTTAAAAATTACCACCCCTTCCACGACCGATCAATCACATCAACAACTTATTAAATCGAATAATAAATTTATTTATTTATTTACGTACGAAACAACCCTTAATTAAATATAATTTTTTTTTTCTATACAAATTTTAGAATGACGACATCTTTAAACCATGTTGATAATGATGATGATAAAAAAAAAAATACATGAAACCTTTTGGAATTGATCGTATGGTAAACCAACCCCGAGTGAGAAGGGTGAACAAAATTTTCTTACGTTTATTTCATTCGTGGAAATTCATTTTAAGAAGACTTTTACAGTTTTAATAATATTTACCGGGGGTAAGTTCTTTTTATAAAAATTCATAATTTTAATTTTATGTTTTCCTTCTTCTCTTTAATCTCAGTATAAAAAACACTGATCTAAATTTCACTTGCAGATATTATTATTATTATTATTATTATTATTATTATTATTATTTTTAATATAATCATCATCATCATCATCATCATCATCATGATTATTATTATTATTATTATTATTATTATTATTATTATTATTATTATTATTATTTTTAACTTTAGAATCTTTTGATTGCATTATATTTGGTACAGGTATATATTTAAAAAGCGGAATGAGAAATATAACGAGAAGGTGGAGTTATTAAAAAAGTAATTTTACGCTTTTAATTTTTTCTTTTTTTCGTTTTTCTGCTCGGAAAATTTTTTTTTATTTTATTTTATTATCGAGAGTTTTCTTGAGGTTTTTAAACCTTTTTAAAATATTAAAATGTAGATTATTTTTATTATTATTATGACATCGCGAAACTATGATTGACAGTAGTTGCGTATATTTGAGAGTACGCGAGTATTTTAACGGGGGGGGGGAGGGGGCAAAAAATTTTATTTTAAGGGTAGTTTTTTTTCCCCTTTGAGGGTGGGAAAACAATACACGTGAAATATATATTTTGATGAATATAAAATTCACGACGTCCCTTCATTTTTTTTTTTTTTTTGTCTTTCTCGATTCAAACAAATTCGATTGAAATCAAAGAGTTAACATTTAACTGTCATTTGTTTAACAAAAAAAAAAAAAAAAAAAATTTAATATTAATAACAACAAACAAATCCGTTCAAGAACAAAAAGGAGGAAAGGGGGAGGAGAAGGGGGAGGGGGAAAAATCGGTAAAGTTAAAAATATAAAATAAACAATTTTCATTTAAAAAATATTAAAAAAAAGATAATATGTGTTTTATACTTTTGAATTTGCTCGAGGGTGAAAAGGGTTTTTTTTTTTTTTTACCGAGAAAAAGATTCAGGAATTGTGTAAACAAAGAATAGAAAATAATAATAATAATAATAATAATAATAAAAGGAAGGAAAACGAAGGAAAAAAAGGAAACCCGTAAAAGGATTCTCTCACGTCAATCAATATTCAGGAAAATGCAAATTATTTTTTAACATATGAATTCCTGTCGTGTGTGTTTATTTAGGATCAATTAAAATATAAAATGGTGGCGAGCATTATAACGTTACAAAAACAAATTTTTTTCTATAAATAATAAAAAAATGAAAATGATAATAATAGTAATAATAATAATAATAATAATTTAGGTCGGAGGTCACGAAAAAAAAAAAAAAGGGAAATTTGTCGCCGTAAGACAAAAAAAAAATACTTGCGACAAAATTTAAAAAATAAAAATTCTTATCAACGTAAACAAACAAATACACTCGTGTTCATCTTATCGGTGCGCGCGCAGAAAAAAACGATATTGTCGATAAATAAATATCTTCTGCTAGTAAATAAATAAATAAATAAATTTTTATATAAACCGTTATGAGAAAACAAAAACAAACTCGTTATTATTAGTAATAATAATAATATTCATTTAATCGATAACGCGACGTGATAGCGAGAGAGGGGGAGGGGAGAAGGAGGAGGAGGAGGAGAGGGAGGGGAATAAGATATTTTCCGATTACGCGATAAATTTCGATTAATCGAATTTTTATTGATATATTTTATTGATAGGTGGATATTAAATAAAAAAAAAAAAAAAAGAAAATTTTAGTTTTTTCCGACGTTAATAATTAGAATCGAGTAAATAAATAAATAAATAAAATGGAGAGGTGGGAGAAAGTGGGAGAGTAGAGGGGAAGGAGAGGGGAAAAGGGGGAGGAGAGGGAGAGAAATTTTTTTATTTTTTTTTTACCCCCTTTCATCCCCATTTTCATTTTCATTTCCGTTTATCGTACGTTTTTTGCGGGTTTTTTTTTTTTTTATAAAAGAGGAAAAAAAAAATTAAAGTTAATTTAAAAAGTCGTTAATTTTGTCATTTTTTTTTTTTTTTAAATACGTAACGGATTTATTGAATCGTGTTTCATTCATTCATTCATTCATTTTTTTTTTTTTATTTCTTCCCCCAAAAAAAAAATGTCATTTTTGAATTTAAAAAAAAAAAAAAACTTCTGCTAACGACGTTTACGTTTTTTTTTTTTTTTTTTTTTCCTCGACGATAAAAAACAATATTGTATCAATTTTAAATCAACAGCGTGTGAATAATCAAAATCAGACCATGTTTAAAAAAAAAAAAATGCTTTGAACTCGTTTCGATACGTTAAACACCGTACCTAAAAAAAAAAAAAATTTTCCGGAAAATAACAGAAAAGAGATATGAGAATAAAATAAAATCATAAACGTCCTTAAATATTTAATAAGATGATGATGATGATGATGATGATTGTACCAATAATTGGAAATTTACCGAAAATTATCTCGAGTGTTTTTCTTCTCCCTTTTTTTTTTTTTATGTTTTCGATGATTGATTGCGAACATGTTTTGTTTATAAGATAACCTTTTATGTATCATCATCATCATCATCATCATCATCATCATCATCATCATCATCATCATCATCGTCATCAACATCATAGTCATCATCATCGTCATCAACATCATAGTCATCATCATCATTATTATTATTATTAGCAATTCGTTTAATGTTTTTTGTTTTTTTTTTGTGTTTGTGATAATAATTAATAATTTTTTGTTTGTCGTTTGTTGTTTGTCGTTTATTGTTTGTTGTTTGTTGTTTGTTGTTTGTTGTTGTTGTGGTTGTTTTTCCTTTTGAAAACGTTAAAAAGTTAAGTTAAAAAAAACCCCTCGGATTCGTATATAAGGAAGGTATCAAATTCAATCATTTACCAAAGCGATTATGTAGAAAAGAAGAACAAACAAAAAGAAATTCAGAAATGGAGGTGGAAGGAAATGGCTTCGAGACAAAAGGGAAATCTGATATTGGGGGCCCTCGAGAGACAATCTGTCATTCCCACTCTCTCTCTCTCTCTCTCTCTCTTTATTTAAACAAATAAAATTGTTTTCAATACGGTTTTTCTTTTTTTAATTAATTGTTGATCACTTATAGTTGTTTACCCTGTCATGTGCCACGATGCCTTAAAGGGATTTTAATTTTTTTCGGGGCCTTCGATAACATCTTCGGTAGCCTCTTGTCATTCATAATCGTTGTAATGAATTATTATTATTATTATTATTATTTTATTACTTTTTAGTAAGGAAAGAAAGAATTTTTTTTTCTTTTTTTTATTCCCGCAAGTATTTTTTTTTCGATTGTGTATAGAGAAAAAAAAAAAGGATTTGTTGTTAAAATTGAATCGATATAGTTTGTGTTTGTGTTTTTGTTGTTTGTTAATACGAAGGTGAACGTAGATTTGTATATATAAATTACATAACTGAGATTAGGCGAATAAATAACAAAGAAAAGGGTGAGCCCACCCAGATGTACAAACAACAACTTCGTGCAAAAATAAGGGATGGTTATAACAATAACTGTTTTTAAAATAACATATACAAACTACCCTTATTTCACTCGAGAGGTTTACATATTTGTTTAACAATTTTTTTTAAACTCGCTCTTTAAACTCGCTTCTTTTTTTTTTTTTTTAAATTATTATAAATAAAATGGATACGTACGATCAATAATAATAATAATAAGTAAATATATTTATTAATAAATTATAAATAAAAAGTAATAATAAATAAATAAATAAATTAAACAAAGTGTTGAAATTAATTATATCGAGTTAGTCAAGTTTTTTCAATTGGAAACAATGTTTTGAAATTAATTACATCTCAGAGTTTCCTTCGATATCCGAGATTCAATTCTTGGTCGAGTTATGAGTGTAACAGGGGATTTTGGGGATCGTATTGTGGTCTAGGAGCAGAATATTCGGGATCTAAGGGGGCGTCGTTTTGGGATCCAGGCATAGCGAATCCAGGGTCTAATTGGCTTTCTCCTTGAGGATCATTTTGAGGTCTAGGAGCGGAATATTCGGGATCTAAGGGTGCGTCGTTTTGAGATCCAGGCATAGCGAATCCGGGGTCTAATTGGCTTTCTCCTTGAGGATCGTCTTGAGGTCTAGGAGCGGAATATTCGGGATCTAAGGGTGCGTCGTTTTGAGATCCAGGCATAGCGAATCCGGGGTCTAATTGGCTTTCTCCTTGAGGATCGTCTTGAGGTCTAGGAGCGGAATATTCGGGATCTAAGGGGGCGTCGTTTTGGGATCCAGGCATAGCGAATCCAGGGTCTAATTGGCTTTCTCCTTGAGGATCGTCTTGAGGTCTAGGAGCGGAATATTCGGGATCTAAGGGGGCGTCGTTTTGAGATCCAGGCATAGCGAATCCAGGGTCTAATTGGCTTTCTCCTTGAGGATCATCTTGAGGTCTAGGAGCAGAATATTCGGGATCTAAGGGGGCGTCGTTTTGAGATCCAGGCAAAGCAAATCCAGGATCCATTTGACTGCCACTTTGTTGTCCGGGACCGGCGAATCCTGGATCTAATTGAATGTGATCCAAATGTTCGGGTCCGGCAAATCCAGGATCTAATTGACTGCCACCTTGCGGTCCTGATCCAGCAAATCCAGGGTCCATTTGACTGCCACCTTGGTTTCCATTACCGGCAAATCCAGGATCCATTTGACTGCCTCCTTGGTTTCCATTACCGGCAAATCCAGGATCCATTTGACTGCCACCTTGTTGTCCGGGACCGGCGAATCCTGGATCTAATTGAATGTTGTCCTGATGTTCGGGGCCAGCAAATCCAGGGTCTAATTGCATGTCGCCTTGATGTCCAGGGTTCATTTGGCTGCCACCTTGCTGTCCGGGACCGGCAAATCCTGGATCTAATTGAATATTGTCCTGATGTTCGGGTCCAGCAAATCCAGGATCTAATTGACTGCCACCTTGTGGTCCTGATCCAGCAAATCCAGGATCCATTTGGCTACCACCTTGTTGTCCGGGACCGGCAAATCCTGGATCTAATTGAATGTTGTCCTGATGTTGGGGTCCGGCAAATCCTGGATCCATTTGACTGCCACCTTGGTTACCGGCAAACCCGGGATCTAATTGAATATATTTTATATTTACCGGTTTGAGTACATCCAACATGGCTTCTTCAACGTACGGTTCAGACTTTAAATGTTTAGAATCAACGACATATTTTTTCTCATTCCAAGCGTCGCCATCTTTTTTCATTTCACTTAAGGTTTTGCTTATCGATTCATTTAATAATAATAATAATAACAAAATAACCGATGTTATCTTAACCGACTCCATTTTTTTAAATTATTTATTTATTTAAATCAAAAAATTTTTTTAACGTTACATAAATTATTTTCTTCACTATTGAATAAAATTTATGTATTTATGTATGTATTTATGTATTCACGTTATATAAAACTTTAAATTTTTTAATTTTTCGTAACTTTTTGCACTGACTGCGTTTATGTGTTTCTCCTTCTGAATCCAAACTATTTATAATGATACACAGGGAAATGCTAAATAATAAATATCAAAAATTATCAATTTTTCTTATCAGTGTTACCGTCATTATTATTATTATTATTTATTCAACGTTAATTATAGCACATTTTAAATCTTATCGTATAAAAAAAAAAAAAATTTTAATTATTTATTATTATTATTATTATTATTATTATTAATTTACTTAGAATAAATCATTATTACGATCAATGATTCATACAAGGTTTCATTATTATTATTATCATTATTATTATTTTGATTTACGTTGAGATTTAAGGTAATAAATAAATAAATAAAATAATTGTTTAAAAAAATTTACATTGTCTAACCGTGTCAATCTCATAAAAAAAATTTTATTTTAAATTTGTCGTCGTATGCGGAGCGTATGTGTGTTTGTGTTTGTTTGCGTTTGTTGCGGATGGATTTGTCGAGGGGTGTGTTTTAGTATTTTTTATATCTCCGTAACAAACGGGATAAAAATAAGGCAGATGAGAAGATGAAAAGATAAATTTTTCATTTTTTTTTTTTTTTTATTATGTAAATTTAATAGTAATAACAATTTAACTGTATTAAATGTGTGTGAGAGAGAGAGAGAAAGAGAAAAAGAGAGAGAGAGAGGACGAAAGAGATTATAAATACATAAACAAAATTTAAAAAATAATTTTTTGTTTTTTTTTTTTTTACGTGGGGCCTTTGTTGGGCATCCAAAAAAAAAATTTTTTCGACCATTTGTTTTTTTAATCTTTTCCAATATGGCCTCTCACTCTCTCTCTCTCTCTCTCTCTCTCTCTCTCTCTCTATTTTTTTAACGTATTTGTCTAGTATTAATTTATTATTAAACTTCTCGTTCCAATTACCTTGATCTATTATTATCAGTCTGGCATATGATTTATTATTATTATTATTACAGCAAGTATTTAAATTTATCACTGATAATAATAATAATAATAATAATAAATTACAATAAAAAAAAAGAATAAACAATGTTATTATTATTATTATTTATAATAATGTCGAGGTTTTTTTTTATTTTTTTTTTTTTTAGGAAAAATATTATTATTATTTGTTTTTTTTTTTTTTTGAAATTTTAAAGGAGACAGTAAAAGTCATTTCTGAACGTACCTTTCATTTTGATTAATAAATAAATAAATAAATAAATAAACATTTTACATGAATAATAATAAATTTATTAATTAAAATAACATTTAACAAAATATATCACAGCCCAAAAAAAAAAAAAAAATTTAATAGTAAAATAAAATGAAATTATTAATTAATAAGAAATGATGATGATAGTAATAATAATAATAATAAATGTAATGATTTGAAAAAAAAAATTTGAAATTTTAGATGATTCATCTTCTGCATCTGCAAATTCCATTTCTGCATCTACCACCTTTGTATCTTTTTGTGAGACAATGAGCGGCACAAGCAGAATGATTCAATGATCCCCAAGGTGTGCTAGCACTCAATAAGTCACATGTTGCTCTACGAAACCTTCCTTTGGCATCTTCTTCACCGGCTAAACAAACATAAAAATGGTAACAAAAGAAAAGAAAAAAATGATACTCACGGTGGCGAAACGTTATTGCGAAGAGAAAATAAAAATTTACTCACCGACAGGATTCAAATCAACATTTTCCGAGGTAAGTTCTCCCATGTATTCTTCAACTTGAAAATCCGCATCGCTATCATTATTATTATTATTAAGTACGGGCACGGCAGAAACAAAAGCCATAAAAATGGCGAATAAGAAAAAAACAATCGTTAATCCGTTCATTTTTGAAAAATAAAACTTTAACAAACTGTTTGTTTGTGTTTTGTAAGCTTAAAGTTTTATTTGATAACAAAAATGACATTGACTCGAGTTTATATAGTCAGCAATAAGGAAAAAAAGGGAATCCCATTAAAAATTAAATTTATTTGAGAAAAGGTGGGAATCCCCCCCGATAATCATTTTAAATGTGAAAATCGCGTCAACGTTCATTTATATTAGGTTAATTTTATTCGTTACAAAAAAAAAAAAAAAACTCGTGCCTGAATTCCATTCATAATAACCGGAAAGTCACGTGAGTAAGTACCTGATATTTCTAAAATTCTCTCGTAATTTACATGAATGATTTGCAAGATTTTCTCTCTCTCTCTAACTTATTCTATTTCGTATGGTCGATTTAATTTTTTTTTTTTTTTTATTTTTGTTGTTGTTGTTGTTGTTGTCGTGAGTTAATGATGATGTTTGTTTGTTTGTTTGTTTTTTTTTTTTCGGTTGAAACAATTTTAAAATTTACGATGTTTTTATACATTATTATTATTATTATTATTATTATTATTATTATTAAAATTTTTGGGTTACGGTTTTTACCGGTTAAAGGGTAAAAGAGTGATAATTTACGAAAAGGGATGAGCAGCGAGAGAAAAGGGATGAAAATATTTTTTTTTTTTTTTAAAATACGTCGTCGTAAAACGATTCGAAATTTGTTATCATCATTCGTTATCAATAGAATTCCGTTCGTTATTAATTAAAAACGCGGATTATTAATAATTTCCTTTTTAAATAACATATAAAAAAATTTAATAATTATTGATGTTAAAACGGTTTTTTATTATCATTATTATTATTATTCGAATGCGAAAGGGGGAGAGAGAGAGAGAGAGAGAGAGAGGAAAATAATAAAAATAAAAATAATAATTTTTTTTTTTTTTTTCCCTAAATTTAAAAGAAAACTGATTTGTAAAGGGGGGTGTTAATGACAGTTTTACCATTTTTTTATCACTCAATATGAATTTCAATTTTTTTTTTTTTTTTCTCGTCAAAGTAAAATGAATTTATTACGCCAATTGTCAAACATTGGAAAACTCGTCCTTCTTAAAAAAAAAAAAAATGGCGGGTAAAAAAAAAAAACAAAAAAAAAAAAAATTTTTTTTCTGGAAATTTTTTTTTTTTTTTGTAAAAAAATAATAATGATGATGATGATGATGATGATAATATATAATATTATAAACGATGTCGTCATCGTCATCGTCGTAGTCGTTTCTCAATAACTGGAAAGGGGTGATGGGCGTGGTTGTATTATTATTATTCTATAGTATTTACGTATTCAGCTGACCGGTTTTTTTTTTTCACCCATTTCGGGCACATTTTTGGGGCTGTTTTGAGGTTTTTTTCCTTTTTTCCTTTTTTTCCTTTTTTTTTTTTTTTTTTATTCCCGGTGATTCGACATTCGGTATTGATTTACACTTTTTTTTTTTTTTTTTTTTTTTCATTATTGGCACGTGATTGATGGTTTCGAAGGGCATAAAAAAGAGAGAGAGGGCATATAGGAAAAAGGAGAAGGCGGTTCCCTCAATTCATTAATACCAACAAAAAAAAAAAAAAAAAAAAATTGGTTCAAATCCAGAGAATTCTATTAAGAAAGAAAAAAAAAATTTTTTTTTTTAACGAGGGCGTTGTTAAATTTCGTTTGTTTTCGCGTAAAAAAAAATAAAAAAATGGAGGCACGTGCGTCGCTTTTCTTTTTTTTACCCAAAAAAAAAAGAAAACTAAAGAATATGATTAGGCTAAAATTTTCAGGAAAATTTCAAATTGTTAAATATATAACATAATTTATCGTTTTCGGTTTGTTTTCCTTTTTTTTTTTTTTTTTTTGTAAGAAATGATTTCAAAAGTTTATTGACTGATAAAAATAAAAATTAATAAATGTCACATAATAATAATAATAAAAGAAACAAAAATAAATACGCACGTGTCATTAACACAAATAATAAGTAATAAAACATTCTAACGACACGTTTAATTTTTTTTTTTTTTTTTTTTTGAAATAATGATAATAATGATTTATTAATTAAAATCTATCATTATTTAAAAGAAAAAACGATGACGATGATGATGACGTAACGTAAAATAAAAATTAAATTTATTTTCTCATCATCCATAACCGCCATTTTTATTTTTAATACATAAAACGATTTAATCAATCTCACTTATTATGTCATTTACAAGTTTTTACCACATTTTCTTCACGAGTTAAATCACGTTATTAGGGAGGAAGGGAGGAAGGAGAGGGATGAAGGGGGAAGGGGGGGGAATGCGTTAGGTAGGCAGGTAAAAAAAAAAAATTACGATGACGATGAAAATCAAGGATGCGCAAAAAATTTGTTAAACTTAATAAATAATAATAATAATAAGAAGAAGAATTTTTAAACCTTTCGTCGTCGTCGTTATTATTATTATTATTATTTTTTTTTTTTGTTAAGGAAAAAAAAAAAAAAATTTTTTTTTTACGATCGGGAACAAACAATACGGTTGATATTACACGCTCTAATGCCTCCACATTTACCCCACTCCTGACAACAAATTCATTAATAATTTTCTTTTTACCCTTAGATACACCGGGGGGGGGGAGGGTTGACACTTGAAAATTTACCCGAGTTTTTTATTTTATTTTAACATAATCGTTTTTTTTTTGTTTGTCGTTCTATTCCTGTCGGACTCTCTCTATTTCAATAATTAATAACTTATCAGGAGCAATAATAATAATAATAATAATAATAATAATAATAATAATTAATAATAATAATAATAATAATAAATTTTCCCAAACTTTAATCGTTTACGATTTTTTAACCGGTTTTAACCGGACATAAGTTAAACACTGTCGGGAAACACCCGAGGGAAAAAAAAAACGCGAGATAATGATGATGATGATAAATATGTGTGTGTGTGTGTGTGTGTAAGGGAAATAATAATTTTAGATTATTAAGGATTTGTTAGAAAAAAAAAATTTCCCCGATTTTCGAGAGATTTCGAGTAAAACAAACAACAAACAAGCATGCCGCGTGCGTGCGTGTGTGCGTGTGCGTGCACGTGTTTTTTTCGGGTAAATTAAAGGAAAAATAAAATTTGCTTTTAACATGATAAATATTTGACTTTGCAAAAAGGCAGAAATTTGATATATATATATAGATAGATAGATAGACGGATTGTAACAAATGTCAGATGGTTTGATGAAATTTTTTTTAAAAAAGGTTGTTGTTGGGAGGTTTGGATTAAAACGATCCTTTCGTATGTATTACGTCATACAGGTGATGATATCCTTAAAAAGAATTGTGTTTAAAACCCCCTGGAGTATAATTTGGAAAATTAAGTGTGAAAAAGTCAATCAATCTTTTCCAAAATTGTGATTTTCATCCCTTGTTAAATGTCCCCCTCTCTCTCTCTCTTTCCTATAATTGTTTTGCTACTGTTATTTAGGTTCACCCCCCGGGGAGTGTTTTGTATTATTTTTAGGGGTTGATGTTTTTATATATTCGATTTTTAAAATATTAAAAATCGAAAAAAAAAAAATTGGATTTTTTAAATTTCGGTTTTAAGTAATAAAAAAATTTTTTTTTTTTTTTTTTTGCTACGGTTCACAATTAAAGTCATTAACAAAGTCATTTAAATGATAATTATATAAGTGTCAAAAGGTTCGTGACGATGCTGCGTTGCCAATTCGTACACACACAGACAAAATATACGTTTTAATACTAAAAAAAAAGGAAATTACCGGGAGGGGGGGTTTTATCGGGCCCCGAAAAATAGTGTTGTTTGAAAGAATGAGAATAAACGACCTGAACGGTAAAAACAAAATGGAGGGAGGAGATGAATAAAAATAAAAAAAAATTTTTCTTGCCTCGTATTCAAATCCATCTCCATATGTCGACCATTTTATGTAAATCCTTTTTATAAAATGAATAAATTATTTAGTCAGGCGTGTTGAATTTATTTATTTATTTATATTTAATATGTTTATTTGACTTTAATTTATACTTCATTACGTTTCTATTTATTAATTTTATAGTCCGCCATATTTTTTTTTTTTTTTTTTTTGATACCCTTTTTTGAAAATGCCAATTTTCTTTCAATCGTTTTGATTCTTGTGAGAGTGCGTGCGTGCGCGTGAGTGTGTACGTTTGTAGTATAATCGTTAGGGGGATCGAAGAAGAAGGAAAAAAAAAAGTATGATGGCGATGTGGTAAATGACGTCAGAAAGAATCGACTCATCCACCGCCTTCTTAAAAAAAAAAACAAAAGGGAATTTAATCGTTGGTGTTTTGTTAATGAGGCAGGATAAAAGACGAACGAAATTCGTATATATATTCGTCTTGTTGTCTCTCACTTCTCAAATAAAAAATCCCTTCTTTTTTTTTTTTTTTTTTTTTCGTGACTAATTGAGTTGAAAAATGAACCTTTGAGGGATGGGGGGGTTGAAAAACTCTTTGAAAATCAAAAACATGTATCCACTCATTTATCATTCTTCATTTCGAAATCGATTTAAAACCATTTTTTTTTTTTTTTTTAAATATACATTAATTATGATCGTTGACGTGTAAAGAAAAAGTACTAAAAAAAAAAGAAAAGGATAAAAAATAAAAAAAAAAAAAAACAATTTCAATAGTTTTGATTGACGAGTAATCGAAATCCGTTTTTCGAATTCGCTGCCATTTTCACTCATTTAAAAAAAAAAAAAAAAAAATCGACTTTTCCAATTATAATTAATTTTATTTTATTCATTCGTTTATTATTTTTTATATACGCGATAATAATAATGATGGTGATGGTGGTGGTGGTGATGGTGGTGGTGGTGATGGTGGCGGTGGTGGTGGTGGTGGCGATGGCGACGTCGAACGTGACGTTTACGGGGGGGGGGGAATATGGCGGAAGGGGAAAGCTTTTTAAAACAAGAGAACATGTTAAAGAAAAGTTTTAATTTTTCAAATTTATCCCAGGCTAATTGTTTGTTGTTTGTTTGTTTGTTTGTTGTTTGTTAAAAGGGATA